TTAGCTCAGCGGCAAAAGTGCCTGCCTGGCAAGCGCAAGGTCGTGAGTTCGGTTCCCGGTACCGGAGAAAAACCAAAAAAAAAAAAAAAAAAAAGTAAAAAAAAAAAACGTGAGGTGGGCCCCTGGAGCCCCTTGGCCCTTCTGCCTTTTGCCATGTGATGTGAAGCAAGGCCTGGTGCCTCGGTCTTGGACTTCTCAGCCTCCAGAACTGTGAGCCAATAAATCCCTGACCATTAGAAGTGACCCAGGCTCCAGCAGGAGCACAAATGGACTGTGGGTAACCAGGTATAGGAGAGACGGAGGCGTCATGGCAGACTGGACAGAAATGACCCCGACTTCCCAACTCTCACCCCACCCCCAGCCATAACCTTGCCCTTGGTGACATGACCTTCTTGTCCCTCTCACCAAGGGGTGGAGCCTGGTTTCCTTCCCCTTGAGTCTGGGCTGGCCTTGTGACCATTCTGTTGGGGAGTGTCAGGGAAGTTAAAACCTGGTTCAAGTCTAGGCCTCAAGGGCCTTGCCTGCCTCTGCTGTGTCCCATAGGAGGACGAGCGAGGGAGCCCAGCAGTTGTGTCTTGGCCCCTTGAAATGGCAGAAGCCAGGATGAGCTTAGCCTAAACTGTCAAGAGTCAGAGTCACAGTTAAATAAACAGCTGTTGTTTTCAGTCACAAGCTTGGGCTGCTTTGTTACATAGCAACAGCTAACTGATATATAGAGGAGTCAAAGGATTAGAGGTGACGTTTTCTGAGTGGGAGATACGGAAGGAGGGTGACTGAATGGATAAATGGATGAACGTAAGGAAAAGTTCTAAAATATCCAAAACATTTAAAAATCATTATTCATACACAGGTGAGAAGGGCTCTCAAATGATATATACTGTGCTCCTTTGAGGAACTCTCTGGTGCAGTTGGCATGGTGGCACATGCCTGTAATCGCAGCACGCTGGGAGGCTGAGGCCTGAGGGTCTTGAGTTTGAGCCCACCCTGGGGCAACTTAGCAAGAATCTGTCTCAAAATTTAAAAATAAGAATGAAAAAGGGCTGGGGATGTAGCTCAAAGCAAAGGCCCTGGGTTCGATGCCCAGGACCACCAAACCAAACCAAACTCCACCAGAGAACTCCCTGGTGGCCAGCACGTCTAAAAGGCTGCAAACCCCAGGGGAACAAACCTGCAGCTTTGCCTCTCTGGTCCTCACATCGCTGGCCGAGGTGGCTCTCATCGCAATGATTCTAACCAGCTTGGAATTTTCCACCTGCAGCCACTGGTCAAAGTTCCTCAGGAGCTGGGAGAAACCTTCATGGCTGCCTTCGCCCTCCTCAGGCAGATTTGCCTGCAGGAATCACATGACCAAAGTGACAATGTGACAGAGGTAAGCAAGGCCCATTGGCCCTGGGCCCAGGGGAGGCCACTGAGGCAGAGGGGAGGGAAAGGACAGGGTGCCGAAAGGAAGTGGGAGAGGTGGTGGTGAGGACTGGACCTCTGCCACCCTTGGGCCAGCAGCATTCCTCGCTGTCACCTCCCTGGCTCCCTAGAGCATGTCACCACCCTTTCCAGGACGGCTACCCCGTGAGCACCCTTCCCGCCGCGGGGCTCGGGCTCTGCTGGCCTCAGAAGGTCAAGCTGCCTCCCTGTCCCCTGGACTGGAGCCCGCAGACGTCTCATGCCCTCGGCTTCCTCCCTCTGGGTCCTGCCACACCGTCCCCTCTGCCTGGCCCACACCACGCTCCCTCCTCTCCCTTACTCCCGCACATCCCTGCGGGCTCAGCTGACATCGTGTTGCTCCTAGAAGGGTTCCCTGCCCAGGAACTGGGTCACAACCAGTGCCCCAGCTCTCCCATAAGCTCCCTGAGCAGCAGGCCGTCTGCCAATGGGCTCCCTGCTTTCCGCAAACCAACGGTCTGGAGCGCACTCCAGTGCTCCTCAAGCCGTGCCCCAAAGCCAGCAGCCTGGGCGTCCCTTGGGAACTGCGAGCAACGTGAAACTTGTACTGTATCAGCTGCATGCAGCCTGCAAAGCTCTCTAAGGTCAACACGTCATTCACAGGCGCCCAGTCCTGGGAAGGCAGTAACACTCGGTACAAGTGTTCCGGGTGCATTTCTGCCTTCAAATGCACCAGGAATGAGGGAGGGGGAGAGTAAATAATTTGATTTTTTTTTTTCGGACAGGGTCTCATTCTGTTGCTCAGGCTGGGCTTGCAATTCTGGGCTCAAACGATCCTCCTGCTTCAGCGTCCTAAATAGCTGGATAGGTGTGTGCCATTACTCCCAGCTGATGGGTTTTTTTTCTTTTTTTGGAAGAACAAGTAATAATAACCTTTTCAGCATGGCTTAACTTTTTAAACACAGCAAGGGAAAGTGATGAGTGACACCATGTAGGTTTCACAAAACACAGCCATATCACAAAAGCATGCCCTTCTGTAAGATCCTGGCTTGCAATTTGGGGTGAGAAGGAAGTTTTCCACCCGACTGTCCTCTGGCAGGGGCGGCTAGAGCTGCACAGAGGTGAGGGCCAGCACGGTGCACATGACCTTCCAAGATGCCCGCAACCTGCCCAGTGGCCTGGCTGTGCAGTCTGGGATTCCCGAGGCCCTGTCTGCAGTGGCACAAGTGAGTAACGGTGTGTCCACATCCTAGGGACTGAGTGGTGGCCCTAGGCAGAGAGGAGGCTGTGCGGAGACCCTGAGCGTCGCTTGAGCTGGATCTGACCCCTGTCCGGAAGCCCCACTAGACAGACTCACCCTGTGCCGCCGCCTGGGGATAGGATTCAGGGGGTCGATGAGAAAGCCCGACTTTGGGATGTTGTTGGTGAAAACCAGCCTCTTCCCAGAGTCCACCTCCGTGCTTTGCAGCTGCCGATTTCGGATGAGGCTGAAAGACAAAGTGTGCCCACTCAAAATAGGGATACAACAGGGACCCGCAGGCTCACAGCAATAACAGCACTGGGACGGCTGGGTGGCGGGAGATTTTGGTCTCACTACTGATAGCGAATCAGCAGCCGCCCTTCGGGCTGGCCCGAAGGCTCTAAGTCACACCTAGGTCCCATTTCCTCCTTTAAACCCACACTGCCCTGGCATGAAGATGCAGATGAGGAAACCGAGGCTCAAGCCAGGATGCTGGCAGCCGACTCCCCAATCTAGGACCCTGTCCGGCTCCTCCTGCCCCAGCCAGAATTGCCAGCTGGTCCCAAGTGTGCAGATGCCCACGGGTACCTGGCCCCACACCTGGCCCAGCCATCAGCCCTGAGGACCCTGGAGCTCCCCAGGGGCTCGCTCACCTCAGCACTTCCTCCTCCAGCAGCCGCAGAGCCTGCCAGGACTCAGCCAGCTCCTGCAGCTCCCTCTGGACCTCGGCCGCACCTTCTGGAGAAGACTTCTCCATCACCAACCGGCCGTGCGCCTCCACCAGGGCCAGGCTGGCCTCCCTCTCCGGGAGCTCAGCCAGCAGGGTCTGAGGGACGGAGATGCAAGACACACAAGTGAGGCCTCAGGCTTGGGGGCCCCTTCTTCCCCTCATGGGAGCTTTGGCCAATGAAGCTGCTCTGGGGGTCGGGGGTGGGGCTGGAAATCACGTCTCACCTCTACCCCAGCCTCTCGGGACTCGGCATTCCACGGGCCCTCGTCCCCTCGGTGCGACTCCAGCATCTGTGTGACCATGGTGACCCACTGCTGCAGCTCTAGCAGCTGGTGGCTGAAGGCGCAGTGCTCCCGCACGCTCTGCTGACACCTGCCCAAGAGGTCCTACGGATACCCAAGGCCAGGGCTCTGAGCCGTGGTCCAGGCAGAGACCCCGGCATCACTGCAGCCCTGCAGGATGCCAGACTGCCTGGACCCCAGCCATCCCCCTGAGGCAAGCGGCCACCTGGGCCAGCACAAGGGCATCACCCAGGAAGGCCACCTCTGGCTCAAGTGCAAACCACCACGGCCAGGCGAGGGTGAACAACCATGGCTCCCGACCACACCTGGTATCCGGTAAACCTGACCCCACGCGTACTCTGACCCAGCCACACCCTCCTGGCATGTGTCCCTGCGTCTTCACCCAAAGACACCCATGTGGCGTTGCCTGTCATGGCTCTACACCGCCAAGTGTCTGCCGACACGGGATTGGGTGGGGGACGTTCCAAGGGGCGTCAGGCTGGTGCCACATGCAGCGAGGTGGATGAATTTGTAACCACCCCTGGGAGGGCTAGAAGCCAAAACATCCTGCCCTCTTCCGTAGGGGGCAGGAGTGGTTGGAAGTGGTGACAGTGACCGGTGGGCACGAGGGAGGCTGGTGTGACTCTGCATTTTATCTGGGTGCTGGAAGCAAGGATCCATTTAATTTTTAAATTCCACTGTGCTGCACCTGTAGACGTTTACTTTCTCTCCAGGATTATACTTGAAGAAGAAGCTTCTCGAGCTAGCCTTCTTTCTCATGCCCAAGGGTTTCCATTCCCTTGGGTCCGTCTGCTGCTGGGCTCCCTGGCCTGGGTCTTGTTCTTCTGTCTCCAGGAAGGGAGGGCACCATACCCAGAGGGTGGCCACTCTCCATCCTCCTGGTCGCCCAGCCTGGGACCCTCTGGGACTGCTGTCCCCGTCCCCCAGCCCAGGGCCTCCGTGGCGCTCTGCTGACCACCAAAGGCCCTGCCTTCCTGCGTTCTGAAAATACTGGGGAGTCAGAAACGCCAAACCAGAGGGGGACTCAGCACCCCAGGGCTGCAGAGGGTCCTGCCTCTGTCCTCGACCAGCCACCAACTGTCCCTAAACCCACTCCGCCAGTGTTCATGTGGCCCGCCCCTCCTGGCTCTGGTACAGACACTGGCCTGAAGGCCTCGGTGCTCCCTGCTGCACAGAGCTGTGATTTGGGGAGGGGCGTGGTTAGGGGGCAGGGCCGCTGAAACTCACTGCAACAGTTGCCCATTATCAAAACAATAAGGGGCATTTTCTCTTTAAAGAAGGATGAAAATAAAAAAAAAAAAAAAAGCCGGGTATGGTGGCTCACTCCTGTAATCCCAGCACTTGGGAGGCTGAGGCAGGAGGATCATTGCGAGTTCCAGACCAGCCTGGGCTACAAAGTGAGCTCAAGGCCAGCCTGAACTGCACAGCGAGACCCTGCCTCAAAAATAAATAAATAAATAAAAAAGAAAGACAGAAGGACGAAAAGCACCAGTACAGCAGATGACAAAACTGGAACGTTACCACTGCAGCCCTGATGAAGCTCCCCTATGCTGCCTCTTACAGTAATCACCCAGCTTGCCACTGGGAGCCGACTTTGCTGCTGCTCGGGCTTCTGAGGGGTGGGGCTGCTTCCTACCTTTCTACCCCCCGCCCCAAGCCCGAAGGCCAGCCATGCTCATGGGTTCCGCGGAACAGTGACTTTGACCAGGCCCTCTGCTCACTGAGGCCCAGGAGCTCCATAGGGAGCCGTTTCCGGGGACCAGTAGGGGGCAGTATGGCTGCTGTGAGAGGGACAGGGGCCCCCACTGCACCGGAGGACAGTCGGACGATTCAGAACCGCCCCACGTCCCACAGACCTCCTGCCGCGCGGGTCTCCCGGCGCTCACACATCTGCTCCCCCTGCCCTGGGTGTAGACTCTAACATGGTGAGCATAGAACCAAAGGTGCTGTCACTCCAGGATGTGGCCAGAGGCGAAGCCTGAGGCAGGTTGTGCTTTGGCTCAGTCACAATTTTACACATCCCAGCTGGCTGTGCCACAGGACACAACATTTGTGTGGTGGCATGTGAGGAGCATTTTTTTTTTTTCCTTTGAGACAAGGTCTCACTATGTAGCCCAGGCTGGCCTCGAACTCATAATCCTCCTGCCTCAGCCTCCTGATTGCTGGGGCACTTTCTAATCACTTCCTAATGTCTAGAGCACCTCTGCATGGAAGGACATGGATCTCATTTACTTTTACAGAGCTCCCTTTTCTACTCAGAGCATTTCTGAGTTGTCTGTGAAGTTGAGTTATATGCTCTGTGGGTTTCAGCCTGTAAAGAGGTGCTGGGAATGTTTGTCGCTAAAGCAGGGCGTGGAGAATGAGGGGTAGAGAACCACACATGGGTTTCCCTGAGGTATGGCTGCCGCAGCCCAGAAGGCCAACCCAGGCCTCCATCCCCTTCAGCCTCCCAAGTCAGGCCTGAGGTCTGCATTTCAACCTATCTGCCGCCAGTTTTCAAGGAGCCTGTGGTTCCATTCCACCGGAAGTGCAATCAATCCCGCAGAACCCAAGAAAGTGCTCAGGCGGCCACTAGAGGGCGCTGCCGACGAGACTTTGTGGCTGCCGAGGGCTGGGAGCAAGCGCAGAAGGCGCGGGGACCCACTGAGCCCACAGCCCAGCGGCTCTGCCTCGGGGCCCTTATCACAGGATGGAGGGGCGCAGTTACTCGCTTCTCTCTGACATTCATGCTGCCTCCACCCTCAGCGCCTGGAACAGCGCCGGCATACAGGAGGCGCTTAATAATCATCTTTTACAGGGCTGGGGATTTAGCTCAGCGGCACAGCACCTGCCTGGCAAGCACAAAGTCGTGAGTTCGATTCCCGGTACCGGAAAAAAACAAAAACACAACAAAACAAAAAATCATGTTACATAGATGAAGAGAAGAGGAAGGAAGGAAGGGAGGGAGGGAGGGAAGGAGGAAGGAAAATAAAGGGGTCAGAAAGTGAAGGAGCCAAGCATGGTGGTGCCCATGTGCAGTTCTAGCACTTAGGAGGCTGACACAGGAGGATCACCATGAATTCGAAGCCAGCCTGGGCTACATAGTGAGAGCCTCTCTTACCCCCCCAGCCCCCTCCCAAAAAAAAAGCAGGGAGAGGGAGAGAGGTCCCCGCTATGTAGGATCCCAGGCCCCAGCCCTTCCTCCAGACCTTACCTCCAGGGACCTGCGCAGGGCCCGGTAGTCAGAGGAAAGCTGGTCCATTTTGTGCTGGTGACTGGAATCCTCCTGGGCGAGACACCTCACGGCCTCCACCTGCACCTCCAGCTCCAGCCCCTCTTCCTGCAGGCCCTGTGGTGGAGAGAGAAGCAACATCGCCCGCCGTACAGCTGACCAGCGTGCAGGACAGAGGGGCAGGCTCTCCCACTCCCACGGCTGAACCGAATGACTGGTCTGCTGGGCCCACTCTCAGGGCTGCTGAAATTGTAAAATCAGACAAAAATATTCTAGAAATAATGAAAATCAGGTCTGTGTGGGGCCAGACGGCATCTTGGGACAAACACACATCTGGACTCCTACTCTGGCTAGGAAGCCAGACCACCTCTGGCTAGGAAGAATCCCGTCCCAGTTTAGCTTTAAAGCCCCACATACAACATATTCGATGTCTCCCAGAGCACACTCTCAATTTATACGTGGGCCTGTGCTTGGATTTTGAAAAGACAATCACGGGATCATATGCACCTTAAAAAGCAACAAGGGCTGGAAGGTGGTGGCATGGGCTTGTAATCCCAGCACTCGGGAGGCTGAAGCAGGAGGCTGAGGCAGGAGCATCGCCATGAATTAAGAGGGCAGCCTGGGGCTACATAGTGAGTTCAAGGCCAGGCTGAGCTACATACAGAGACTCTGTCTCAAAAAACAAAAACAAAAGTAAGTTCTTCATCCAGCCAACGATTAACAGTGATCAGTCCTTCACAGTCCCCAGATGACTGAAACATTTTCTCTCTCAAAAGTAGCTTATTCGACAGAAGGCCCCTGGACTCTCAGGAATAATCAGCAAAGTAATTTTTAAAATAAATACTCTTAGACTTTGGAACTGAGGCAAAAACGAAAAGGCTGCTTATTATTTTGCTAGGGTCAAGCCTCAGCAATACAGTTCATTAATTCATATCATTAATATGTACCAGTAATTGTAGCAATAATAAAAAAGAATCAGCAGGTTGCGGGTGTTAAAGGCCCCGCTGAGGCCGGGACCCTCAGATAAACAAGCAGAGATTCCCCCGGAGAGAAGTCCGCCTTCAGATAAGGATCTGACCCTCAGCTGGGGCTGGCCAATGTGTATGGCCACAGAAGGGTGCTGCTGCTCCCGGTACACCTGGGAGCCCCCTTACCTGCAACCGCAGGAGCTGGGCCTGCTTTCCGGGAAGGTCCCGCTGAAGCCCTTTCTCCGCCTGAAGCCTGGCCTGGAGGTCTAGCAGCTTCCTCTGCAGGGGCGTGAAAGCAGCCCCAAAGTCTTTGTGCTGAGCAAGCAAACTCTGCAGAGAGAGAACAGGCAGCTGGGACCTTCGGAGCTTCCTGCTAGGCACTTCGTAAGACCTGGCGCTTGGCATCAACTGTGTTCTCCTGGCCAGTTTGTACTCTAGTGCCGCCTCCTCCCCGAAGCCCTTGGGTTCATGTGTAACACTCTGGCCACACCCTGTTAGAACAGTGGAAGAGGGCAGGCACAGCCCCCCCATCCGGCCAGTGACCTGTTTGTGTGAATAAAGTTTTATTGGAACACAAGGTGCCCATTCATTCCCTGCTGATCCCTACCACTGCCGCAGAGTTGAGTGGGACAGAGCCTCCCCCAGAACACCCGGGTCCTGGATGCTGCACGGGTAGGCAGGGACCTGCTCCGCCTGCCCGCTGCCCTCACCTGCAGCTTGCCCTTCCTCTGCAGGAGGCTGCTATGCAGCGCATCTCTGTCCTGCATGCAGCTCGCCACCTGCGCCAGGAGGTCTGAGGCTCTCTCTGGGCCAAAGATGCCGCTCAGCAGATCCGGCTTCAGCTGCAGCGCCGCCAGCTGCTCCTTCAGGCGGGAGCTTTCCACCAGGGCCGCCTGTGGGTGACAAGGCCTCCGTGAAGCATGCAGCAGGGCCCAGCGGGCAAAGCCAAAACTGGGGCCATGTGGGGGAAGCCAGCCCTCCGTACAGGTGTGGGAGGAGGCCACAAACTGGAGTGGAAACCCAGGCTGCTCGGAATGCAGGGGGCCCTGAATTCAGGGTCCCCTCCCTCATCCGTCTTGTTCTCAAAGCCAGAGTAGGAATCTACCTCTCCCACCCCCTGCCAGGGCGGTGCAGGCCTGGGGGAGCATGATCCTGGGGAATTCAGGAAGGCTTCCCGGAGGAGGCGACTCCTCCATGGGCTGCTGAGGTACTGGAGCTTACGAGGCTGAGAGGGGGCCCGTAGGGACTCAGAAGGCGCCTTGGATCACAGCAGTGGCCTCCATGCAGCCTGAACCTGCATAGCCCAGGCGCGCCTCCTCCAGAAGGCCGGTTATGACCACGTGCCAGCCCCTACTCACTCTTCACACCCCAGAGCCCCTCAACTCCTCGGGCACCTGCTGCCTCTCCGGCTGTTCTAGGTGAGAGCTTTCTGCTTCGCTAACTGATGGTCTGGCGCCTGCATCTGGCCAGACTTAGGAGCCTGAGCAGGATACAAGGCTGGGAGCAGGACAAAGACCCCACCCCGGCCAGGCAGGTAGCTGCACTCTCAGTGGAACATGATCGTGTTCCTAAGCACAAGCTGACCAGTGCCGGGAGTGGGTTCGAAGCAAAGCCTGGGGAAGTAAGAGAGGGTTCCCTGGAGGAGGCGGCACCGAAGACAGTCCTCCAAGGGCCAGGAGGTTCCTGCAAGGAGCTCGTCGTGTGCACAGCCAACTCGGCTGCACTCGGGCCTGACAGAGAGGTCATCTGGGTGTGGCAAGCCACGTGGGTCAGCCTCCCCCTTTCGGGGAGTCATGTCCCTCTTTGCCCCAGGAACAGACGCTGGGTCCCAGGAAGTAAGAACTCAGGCTGGGGAGTCGCGATCCCGCGTTTGGATGATGGGTTAGCTGGGAGTTCGCTGGGAGGCCGTGGGCAGCTGCGAGCCTCACCTTCGTCTTTTGTAACACGGGCACAGCTCAGGGGACTGTTCCGGGGTTTAAATGAGACGACGCCTCTCACACTGAACAGTGCCTGGCTCCAGCGAGCACACACGCGGGACAGCTTCCCAGCCACTGAGTCTCCCCAGAAAGATACGGCGGCGACTGAACTCCCACCAGCACCTCGGGATGTGCTCTCTGAAGACAGGTTCTGTGCAGATTTATACTAAAGTGAGGCCACCAGGGGTTCCTCATCCAGCCTGACCAGCGTCCCAGCAGAGAGAAGCTCCAAACACTTCCTCTTGCTCCTGCCTGCAAGAGGAAGATGCCAGGACACCGGGGAGAGGCAGCCATGGGACAGGGAGGCAGAGCTGTGGGCCACTCTGCCACCAAGGGACGCCGTGGCTGGCACCCCCGCCACCAGCCTCAGAGGGAGCACAGCCCCAAACACCTTGACCTCAGAAACCACGAGACATAGGCTTCTGCTGCTTTAAGCCAGCCAGGTTGAGGTGCTCTGTTACGGCCGCCCAGTCCACTTTTTGGGGCTCAGCACTTTAGTTCCGGAGGGGCCTGGCAGATCCACACAACACTCTGAGGCTGAACACAGCAGCCGAGCCAAGGAAAGCTAGAACTGACTGGCTGTGGTAGCACACGCCTGTAATCCCACCACTCTGGGAGACTGAGGCAGGGGGCTTGGGAGTTGGCGGTCAGCCTGGGCAACTCCACAACTCAATCAGATCAAGATTTTTAAAATGGCTGGGGATGTAGTTGGCAAAGGCTCTGCGTTCAGTCCTCAGAAAGCTGGCAATGGGAGCCCCGGCCTATGGAATCCACTCCACCGGCAGGCAGGTGAGGTGGGGCGAGACATGCTTGCAGATAGCAGACAGAATCCCATCGCCGGCCAGGCCAAGCCCCGGCCCCAACTGCAGCTCCTGGGCGGAGAGCCCTGGGCCACACTCCAGAGAGACATAGCTTTCCCCTCTGGCCTCGCAGAGGTCCTGGTCTGCTTCCTAGCCCCCCGTGGGAACGAGATGAGAAAAGCATGGTGATGGAGCAGGGGAAGCCCTCGCGGGGAGGTCAGGCGGGCTGGGTCAAGGCCTGGCCCTGCCCCCCAGCCTGTCCGAGCAAAATGACCTTGAAAGAGCCCCCTAACCTCCCACCCGCAACCAGTCCCTCCTATGAGAAAGAGAATCACGCTAGACACGGAAACCAAAACCTGTAAACACAGCTATCCGCCCCATCTCAACTATGACAGTGAAAGCCTGGAAAGAATCAAAATCTCTGTCCGTGGATGCATTAAATGACACATAGGATAAAACGGAAAATTACATTTTCCTGCTAAAAAGTGAGTGATTTTTACATGCTGCCTGAGAAAAAGGCCAAAGGAGTGGAGGGAAAATATCAGATACAACTCTGTGACATAACTCTAAACACATGGAAATTGTAATTAATCAAATCTCCTGTCTCCGGAGGGCCACATCTCGTGGAAATGTCTAGATGGATTTTATCAGATATAAAGCATCGACTTAGCATGATCTGGCCTGACGTCGAAGCTTGTGGCACACATGAAATTCACCCTGGGGAGTCTTGAGGCGTACCCCAAGAAGATCACCTCCACCTTTGGAACCTGGGGAGGGGGGAAAGGGGCCCACTGGACCCTCGGAAAGGGACCATGCTCTGTGACTGAAAGCAGTGGAGAGAGCCAGGCGTGGTGGCGCACGCCTGTAATCCCAGCCCTCTGGAGGCTGAGGCAAGAGGTTGGCCACAAGTTCAACGCCAGCCCGGGCGACATAGTGAGTTCAAAGCCAGGCCAAATCTCATAGCATGACGCTGTCTCAAACAAAACAAGACAACAGAGAGAAGACAAATTATTCTTCCAACCTGAGCCCCAAATGGAAAACCACAAGGCTGAATGCTCTAAAATTGGCCTTGATTGATGGCTGAGTAGTTTCCTCAGAAATGGGTGGGTGCCAACCCTGGTTAATAATTCTCCCAGCTGTACAGAAAAGGTGACGGAAGAAGTGCCCCAATGTACCAACAGCAGTCCTGTGGCTTGTGGGATTGTGGGGGCTTTCTGTTTCCTTCTTGAGAAACCTTTACATTCCGTAAGATGCCTTTTATAACCAGAATGAAAATCAGCGCGAAATGAGGGCTGACGCAGGGCACATTTTTGTGTCTGCTCTCCCTCTAAGACTCTGGATGCAAAAACATTTGATGGACTCCAGGGCTCAGTGAGGATACTGGAGGGTTGATGGGCAAATTGGGCCTCTGTATGGCCAGGCATCGAGACAGACACTGCCCGCTGCTCATCTCACAGCCGATCTTCCTGCTCCCTCGCCAAACAGGCAGCATCTTGCTTGGGAACAAGGCACCCAGCCAGGGATCCAGGACCATAGCATCATTAGTACCAACCGGTCATAACAATCCCATCACCCTCAGCCAGAGCCTGGACCGCGGATGGTCACGTGACCTTGTGTAATCAATCAGATGTGAGAGCTGGGCGCTAGGACTTCTGGGAAGGTTCTGCCTCTCTGTGACAGTGGGTGTGGCCATGGCAGGAGCCCTTTTGTGCTTGCAGAGAAAGCACACCACAGATGTTGTTGCTCATGGAGAGATGTATGAGTGGAGTAGCAGCAGCTACCCTGGGGCTAGAAAGAGAGACATGGCTTCACACCAGAAAGAGCCTGGCTCTGGTGACACTGTGTCAGGTTAAGCTACCACGTGTCAGGTTTTCTGTCACTTGTAGCCACCACATAGGGAATGGTCTGAAACAGAACTGCTAATGCTGCCCCAGAGGACAGCTGACCCTGGGCTCCCAAAGTGGGGTCTCTGGATACTTGTGGGTGGGAGCGGGTCACTGAGGAGTCCTGGGGTCATACCGGGCTTCACCTTCTGCCCACACACTGAGGATGACCTCTGTCACTGACAACCAGTAATGACCCTTGCCATTCACTTATGGCCTGACCTTGGAGCGGTGAGCTCGACCCGGATATCAGAGGGCCCAGGCACACGGCCATCCCTGGGAGAGGGGCTGACACACCTCACGTCGGCCGGCAGCCTCCCCAGCCCCGTGAGGCAGCCATGCTGGCTGCAGCAGGGTTACCTTGATCTGGGGCAGGAAGGTGTGGACGGAAGGCAGGTCTGGCAGGCTGTCGGTGACATCCAGGAGCCGCTGGGCCAGGGCCCGCCACTGCTGCAGATCATGGAGGGGTCGCTGGAAATGCTGCCACAGCTCCACCCTGGTGGCATTGCACAGCTTGGTGCTCCTCCCCTTCATGCTGCAAGGACCAGCAGGGCACAGGTGAGAGAGGAGAGGGGTCAGTGCGGGGGTGTCCATGGCAGGGAGCGGCAGGGGACAAGATGTACGTGGAAGGCACGGGGTGCACTGAGATGGACAGGCCGTGACCACATGCCTTGAGGCTGCCTGAGTATGGAGCCCAGGGCTCCCTGGACCCCTCAGGCTCTGGTACCAGTGATATGTGTGCACAGGGAAAGGGCTGGGAGTCTGCAGTCAGGCAGACCAGACACGTGACCTTAGTGACTTAGTCACTGAGCCTCAGTTTCCTCACCTAGAAAATGGGAACACAGGGCTCCTCCTATAGTGCTCCTGTGAGTACTTATTGAAATAACACATGGAGGTTTCGCCCAGGAATAAAAGGCAAGTTAAGCAAGGCATGATGGCACACTCTTGTCATCCCAGCAACTCAGGAGGCTGACACAGAAGGATCTCTACAAGTCGAAGGCCTGCTTGGGCTACATAATGAGGTCAACCAGCCTACATTACATAATGAGCCCCTGAGTCTTCCCACTGGGGACATAAGAAAAAAAACTTAATCTGAATTTTGGCTCTTTTTTTTTGGTGTTTTTGAGACAGGGTCTCACTATGCAGTTCAGGCTGGCCTTGAACTCACTTTGTAGCCCAGGCTGGTTTCAAACTCGCAATGATCCTCCTGCCTCAGCCTCCCAAGTACTGTGATCACAGGCACACCCACCTAGCTTAATCTGAGTTTTCTGGTTTTTTGTTTTTGTTTTTGTTTTTTTTGGTACCGGGAATCAAACTCATGACCTCAGGCTTGCCAGGCAAGTGCTTATGCCGCTGAGCTACATCCCCAGCCCTTAATCTGAGTTTTAAAATGGAGTAAACAACAGAAATGTGAGTCCATATCTAAAGTTACTCTGTCCCATCTGGGCACGGTAGAGCATGCCTGTAATCCCAGCACTCGGGAGGCTGAGGCAGGAGGATCATTTGTATAGTTCAAGACTAGCCTGGGCTACAAAGTGTGCTCAAGCCAGCCTAAACTGCATAGGGAGACCTTGTTTCAAAAAAGACCAAAAGAAATTTTAAAAAAATAAAGTTACTCTGTTCTTGAGAGCATTTGTGGGTTTGGATGAAATAACGCAAACCTGAGCTAGGCTTGTGCTAGCCCTGAGCAAGGGCCCAGCACGGTAGCCTAAAGCTGGGACCTCAGAGGTCTGTAAAGCAGCTGCCCTCAAGCAGCCTGGCAGTCCAGCCTTGTGACCTAGGACCACAGGCCCGAGGGGAAATTGCCTCAACCGTAGATTAGAGCTGCCCTCTGGGAGCCGACAAAAGCCTGTCTGAAGATACTATCATCTGGGGCCCTGATTTCTCTGTCTCTGTCTCTCTGTCTCTGTCTCTCTGTCTCTCTCTGTGTCTCTCTCTCATTCTTTCTTTCCTTGTTTTTTTGAGACAGGATCTCACTATATAGCCCAGGCTGGCCTCAAAACTGTGGCAATCCTCTACCTCAGCTTCCACAGCTGGCAATTAATTTCTACAAGTCATCTTTCAAGTAAGTTCTTCAAAATAGCTGGGCATGGCGGCGCTGGACTCTAACCCCAAAACTCTGAGAGACCGAGGCAGGACCACCAGGAGTTTGAGCCCAGCTTGGGCAATTTAGAGACCTAGTGAAACCCTGTCTCACAACAAAAGATAAAAAGTGCTGAGGATAGAGATCAGTGTAAAAGCCCTGGAATCAGCCCCCAATACTGAAAAGGAAGGAAGGAAGAGAAATTCTCAAAATAATAATTTCTAGTAATTTTTCAAATACAAGGTGCAGCAGCCCAACACGGATCCCCAGCCCCGAATCCTCAGCAAGAGAGCAGAGGCCATGGGAGACCCTGGGCTACTCTGTCCCACCGCTCTGAGCACAGGGAGCCAACCCTGACCTCGGCCTCCCTCAGGGGATCCAGGCCGCTGTTCCACCTCACAGGTGGGGGCCCCTGCCTCCCTTCCGAGGACAGTGTGCAGAAGGTTGCGGCCACCTGCTTCGCGCTGGACACTGGGGACCCGCCAAGTTCACATGCAGCCCCGTGCCGCAGAGCAAGGCCTGAGACAGGCTCGGTGTTTTGCTCTCTGCGTGGTCAGAGGCAAGGGCTGCCGTTATCCACTGCACAGCCCCCACGGCTAAATGGCACAGAAAAACTGGACTGGAGGGGTGCACAGACCACCCACAAGGAAGAAGCAATGTTTAGGTGCCTTCTGGGAACAGAATGCAAAACAAATCAAACGGGACAGTGCTGAACCCAAGCAGGGACCTGTAATCAGAGTCCCAGGTTCCCGAGGCCCACGGCCCTCGCCCTGCAGTACCTCTTATATTCCTGGATGGCGGCCACCACACTGTTACAGAGTGGCTGCAGGTCGGGGAAGGCGACGAGCTCCTTCAGCTGGGCCTGCAGCCGGTCCACCCGCGGCTCCTCTGAGGCCAGAGCTGCCCGGGACGCCTGCAGGACAAGACAACCCCCAGGGGGCGATGAGGCTCCTCCAGGGGAAACTGTGGGTATGCAGGGGCTGAGTGTAACCAGGGCATGTGACAGGGTGGAGAAACCTGTTACCAAGGGCAAGGACCGGCTCCCTTGAGCTCAGAGAAGCCTTGGTTTCCTCATACAGATGCTCAGCCAGTCTACCACGGCTCGGGGAACTCAGGGGTCGGTTCGATCCTCCTGTCACACTGGACAGCTGCCAGCAGCAACCCCAGGGCCTGCACGTCTGATTGCTCCAAGGCTTGGCCACACGCTACTTACTGAGTAGAGCCTCCAGCGGGCCACCAGCTCATTTTCAGTCCCTGCTGCTGCTGCCATCGCTGAGGGCTCCAGCCCGCCCTGGGCCAGCCTCTCGAGGCCCTTCCGGAACTCTCCAAGCTCAGCCTCCAGCCGCCGGAGCTGCTGTTCACGGGCACCCTTGGATGAGAGCAGGTCCCGCAGCTGCGCCTCCTCCTCCTCGCAGAGGCCCCGCTGCTTCTCCAGGGCCTTCCGCATCTCCTCCAGTTCCCTGGTGATCTTCTCTGCCCCCAAGGGAGAGGTGTTCTGTATGACGCCCTCAGACGATGCCTCCAGCCTCCTCAAAGACGCCTCACCCTGGGAGAAATCCTTGGCAATGTCCTGCGGGGCACAGGAACCGGCATGATGGGAAACAGAGGGGGACAAGCAAACGTTCAGCGCTTTCCAAGGGACCCAGGAATGTCATGCAAAATGCGAATTCCTAAACTGGTTGGAGCAGGAGGGGCCCAGCCAAGGGGTGGACTGTGCCTTTGGGAACTGCACTCCCTCCAAGCCTTCTTCAGGCCAGCAGACCCAGTCAGGGAGAAGGTCTGGTGGGTGCCTCTCTGGCTCTAGCACTTTCTCCCTTTGTTAATCTTTCTTTTCAACCAACAGGCGTGGAACCAGCAGCAGGCAACAGGACAGTGCCTACCAGAACCTATCAGTACCACTTGGTTTCGTGGTGTGTGTTTGCATGATTATCTATTCATTATGAATGGTACCGGCTTTTCCACTTATGACAGTGATTTCAGTGCTTTTCCTAAATAATGACAGTATTTTTTTAAAAAGGTAAGTCAAATGAAAGACAAATGTGAAAACAAAACAAAACAAAAAAACAGCCAGGTATGGTGGTGCACACCTATAATCCCAACACTAAGGAAGCTGAGGCAGGAGGATCATTTCAAGTTTGAAGCCAGCCTGGACTTCATAGTGAGTTTAAGTTTAGCTGGAACTACATATTGAGACCGTGTTTCAACCCCCACCCCAAAAAAGTACAGGTGCCTCACAATTTCGGTGCTTCAATTACTGAAGATAATCTACACACTCACTCTGCAGAGGAGTCAGAGGTTTCTTCAAAGCCATGTGCTAGTGACAAGGTCCACAGGGGACATGAGTCTCCCAAGCACAGGCCTGATGGCCACCCAGGGCTCTTAGGCCTGGGCACTGCTGGCATTTGTGCGGGGCCACTCTGTGCTGTGGGTGCTGTCCGGGGTGGTGCAGGGCCGATAGCAGCATCCCCTGCTACCACCCACAAGAAGCCACTAGCAGCAGCCATCCTCAGCTGTGACAAATAAAACTGTCTCTGGACGTTGCCATGCAGGCTGCACTGGGGACCTGTGGTCCTCAGGTTCCATTGTCCAAACGCCTGGCTGGCTCAGAGATTTCTGTCAAGCAGCGAGCTCCCACGTGCTTTGCCCCAGAACCCTTGGCTGACCCGGAGGGAGTCTGCACGCCCTGGATGTTCTGCCTCACGAGGCAGCGACATCGGATACATCACAGGTTGGGAACCTGCAGAGCTCACCTGCAGTGCGGAGAGGCGGAGCTCAGTGGACAGCTGGCAACCATTGCCCGTGCAGGCCTGCACCTTCTCCCCTGCTGCCCTCAGCCACAGCTGGAACTCATCCACGCCCGCCTGGTACTCCTCATGCTCTTGGGCCACCCTCGCCAGCAGGTCCACGCGGTCCTGTGGAGAGATCACACCCACTGTGAGGATCCCCAACCTTAGAGACCAGAATGTCTGCAGCTTGCCTGGGTATGTGTGTGCCTCCGTGAGTGTGTGTGTGAGTGGGTGTGTCAGGGATGCAGTCAACACTCAGCTCAGTCCCTGCACTGCAGACAGAGACCCAGGTGCTGTCCTCTTGTGCTGCACACGCCAGGAGACTCTTGGCTTTGGGGATCCAAGCACGTCGACAGCGGTTTCCATGCCCTGTCCGGGGAATGCAGTCCAGTGGGGTGTGGTGACAGAGATAATGACAACATGACTCTCTAGCTGGGCGTGGTGGTGCATACCAGTGATCCCAGCTACCCAAAGGGCTGAGACGGGAAGATTGCAAGTTGGAGGCCAGCCCGGGAACATTAGGGGGAGACCCCATCTCAAAATAAAATAATAAAATTTTTAAAAATGAGCTGGGGATGTGGCTCAGTGGTTGAGCATTTGCCTAGCATGCACGAGGCCTAGGGTTTAGTCCCCAGTACTGCGGGGAGGAAAAGAGAATTTCATTTTGCAAAAGGGAAGGCAACCCAAGAGACGGAGGGAGGCGGGCGGGAGGAAAAGGGGCCGGGCGTGGTGGAGCACACCTGTAATCCCAGCACTCGGGAGGCTGAGGCAGGAGGATTGTTGAGAGTTCAAGGTCAGCCTGGACTACAAAGTGAGCTCAAGGTCAGCCTGAACAAAAAAAAAAAAAAAAAAAAAAAACAGAGATGGAGGAGGCAGGAGGGAGGAAAAGGGGAAGTAAAAAGAATTCAGACGTGTCTTGTCATGTACCAACTCCCCACGACAAAAGTGATCATCATGTACTTTTAAAAATGTAAAATAAAGGCTGGAGCAAGAAAGGCTTGGAAAGTAAAAAAGAATCTGAGCTCCTTGAGTGCTCCTGACCCCCAGGAGGTGCTCCCTTTATTATTCCGGTAAGAAAGCCTCAGAGAGGTAAAGGCACTTGCCCAAGGTCACCAGCAAGGACAGCCAGTGACACAAACCTGGCAGACAGGGCTGAAGGACAGGCACTTGCATGGGGATCCATAGGAGTCCCCAGGGCCCTGCCTGTGAAGGCGATGACCTCACTGCTCTGGCAGAGAGCCTGTCTGTTGGAGCCAATCCCAGGAAGCAATAACCTCCAAGGGGCAGGGCAATGATATTGGGGACTTGAAAGCGAACCCCACGTGCTCCTAGAGGCCAGTTTTCAAAATGTGATGCATCACCGCTCTGTCTCCTTAAACACCCCCGCAGCGCCCGGCGCGAGCCCTGAATCCCGGCGGGGAAACCAGGTCCTCTGCATGCAGCGCTGCGGCCTCACCTGGGTGTCACACGTCCGCCTGTGCCCCAGTCCCCGCTGCCCTAGAGTGCGGCTGCCAGCAAGGCCCGAGCGTTGGGATGCAGGGCAACAGAACAAACTGCGCCATGCCGCTCAGAAGCACTTGATGGCTGAGCGCCATTGCCTTCGGTCGCCTGCTCCTTGTGCCCCTGCAGCAGGGCGCCGGCGGGTGCCCACCCAACCCAGCGACCACCGCGGCCCCACCTTCTTCCGACACTCCGCGCACCTCCGAGGGCTGAATTAGCAACTTTCCCTCTGCATTCCCAAAACGCTGGGACGCTGCTCCATCTTGGCACCCGTCCTACGGCAACGCTATCCAAGCTATGTTCTCTCCCTGGGCCCAGCTCAGGGCAGGCTCTGCGCCCTGCTGGCTGTCTGTCTTTGGATGAGGTTTTTCAGAAAAGTACAGAGAAAGAAGAGACTTGCATTTAATAGGCACCTACTATCCTTTTTTTTGTTTGTGGTTTTTTTTTCCGGTCCCGGGAATCCAACTCAGGACCTCAAGCTTGCCAGGCAGGCGCTGTGCCGCTGAGCTAAATCCCCAGCCCCGCACCTACTGTCTGTGTGGCTCCACCTTATTTAACACTCTCAACCCTCCCTCCTGCAAACATGCAACCTGGAAGGTCACAGGGCTCTCACAGGGCCAGAGAGCTGTGGTCCAAGCAGTAAGTGTCAGACGGCAGTCATAGCAGAAGCCCGGGGCTGCAGACGGCTTCTTCCAAGGGCCCGGAGGAAACGCTCTGCTCTGCCTGCCAAGCGGCTGCTGTTGCAGTTACTGAGCTATTCCGGTCACAGTACAGAAGCACTGCCAGACAGTGTGTAAAGAACGGCTGTGCGCCAGTCAAATTTGCACGATGGACATTGAAAGTGGGATTTCACGTTCTTTTCACACATAGTGAAGGAGTTGGCGTTTTTTTCCCCCCAACCAAGTAGAAATGTGAAAAGCAGGCAGAGGGTATAGCTCAGAGGCCTAAGCATCTGCCTGGCAAGCCCAAAGTTCTGAGTTCGATTCCTGGTACCAAAAAGAAATGTGAAAGGATTGCTTAGCTCACAGGCTACACACAGCAGTGGGGCTGTAGTCCTTGGCTTTGGCCACGGAGGCCACACCCTAACCCTAACCCTAACCCTACCCTGACCCTGACCCTGACCCTGACCCTGACCCTGACTTCCATGAAGCTAAGTCCTCAATGGGAAGAGCAGACTGGCAAGGGGTATGAAAAACATCCCGGGCAATTTCTACATGCTTCCCCTCCTTAGGGATGCTCCTCACCAAATCTAGAAATTCTGATTCATTCAGACCTTTGCAGCAACCACTGCGAGCAGGAAATCCTCCCCACGTGCTCACATCTGATCAGCTCTTTGGATCTCCGGCGACCCTCAAGAGTCTGGTGACTTTCTAAGACTCAGGAGTAAGCCCGTCTCGGGCCTTCCCAGGATCTCTCAGAACCAGCGCTGCCCGAGTCTGGGCTACAGGGAGCTGGAGGCCTACAGGCTCCCTCTGTGGCTCCCGCATCCCACACGATTGTTTGCATCCACCTAAACTCTCCCAGTGCTGGGCGTGGAGGTGCACACCTATAATCCCAGTGCTCGGGAGGCTGAGGCAGGGGGATCGCTGCGAGTCCAAGGCCAGCCTGGGCTACATAAGTGAACTCAAGGCCAGCCTGAACTGCAGAGTGAGACTCTGTCTCAAAAAGACAATAAATTAAATAAATCAATAAAGTTTAAAAAAATAAACTCTCCCAGAGCGTCCCATCTAGGAAACAGAGCGGTCAGGAGTAGCTGCCGAAGCTGCGCCAGCCTCCCTGGGCTGCTGACGGTGATGAATGTGGGAAGGAAGAGACCCGGCGGAGTGCTGGCTGGCGGCTCTGTGTGAGCGATGAGGTGCTGTCCACCCTGAGTAAACACCAGTCTCCGGGACCCAGGGCAGGCGCTCGCTCGTGAGGAGCAGCGTGGCAGGGCAGCGAGCCAGCCGGGGTGGGTGCCAGGCACGGCAGTCACAGAGCACAGCTCTGCCCTGCGGGAGGGTGACAGGGTGACGAATGGGACAGCGCTCCGCCTCCTCGTTCGACCAAACAATTAAGCCATCTGCGCCTGCAGAGCTGTCAGGAATGTCAAAACCCATCCAGTTAACGAGGGCTGGGTGGATTTATGTCCCTGCAAAGGGCGGAAGGAAGGAGTAGGTCTGACTCGGCCTCAGACTCCGGGCACTCCTGCTCCAGGGCCACCAGGAGGGAGGAAGAGGAGGAGGTGGAGGAGGCTGCTATTTGCAGCAGTGGATTAAAAACAAATAAAACGCTCCTGTGGCCCCAGCCTGCCCCTCTGCCCTCTGTTTCCAATGCTTTGCATTGCTGTGAGCCGTGGGTCAGCTCTAGGCTTAGCTTGGTGCCCTAAGCAGGGATGGGGGAGAGTCACAAAGGCCACGGGGGAGTCCCATTCCCACCAACTGCAGACACTTCGCTAATTCATTTGTGGGGCATTAGAAATACTTTTACAGGCCAAACAGGGCCTTTTGACAAGCAAGAGGCTGGCTAGAAAGAGCGTCAGTGGAGAAGGTGGAGAGGTCACTACACCCCAGCCCCCGCCGTCCGGGCTGGGCCCTCTGAGGTCCCAGGGCTGAGGCTCCAGAGCCTGGCCCTGCCCTTCCCATCAGGGCTTCACTGGTCAGGTGGCAGAGGGTGACCAGTCGGCGTCTGGGTCACCAAGGATCTTTGGGACCACTGGACACACAGTGCTGCCCAGAGCATCCCACGCAGAGCTAGAAGAGCGCCTCGGAATCAGGGGCACTGCCCCCGGACCTCTATAGTCCATGAAGAAGACGCAGGGCTCCATGGGCTCCACACAGCCAAGCGGGCCAAACAGGACTGCTTCTCCGTGGGGTCAGAAGCGAACCACTGCCCTGGGAGCAGAGGCGGCTTCCTCTCCATGCCACTGCTGTGCCTTGGGAGGCCTCGGAAACTCCCAAAGAAAGCACCCCTCTTCCCGGAGCCCCAGATGCCCCCATTCACTGCTGCCTCCGTGCTGTCAGCCCGGCCCTAGGAAGTGCAGGGCCCTGGCTTGGCCGCCAGATGCTGCCAGCAGGGTCTGGACACAAGGTGCGAGAGGAGGTGGACCCCACCCTGGGTCGGCCGGAACTCCTGGCTCTCCCTACTGGGCCAGTGGGGTCTGGCTCTGAAGGGCTTGCTAGCTTGTTTGTATCTTAAAAATGAGCTCAGGAATATCTACTGCATGATAGGGCTACTGCGTGATCTACCGCACAAGAGGGCTGAGGGCTGAGGAATCGAGTGAGGTCGGAGACAGCAAGAGGCGGATAAAAGACGGTCTCCGCCCGTAAGAATCAGGGTGGCTAGGGCTTTTGGCGTCCTGTGCCTGGAGTCTCCTGAAATGACATCTAGACTCTGCACTGGGGCTGAACTGGGGCTCCCCCGGCACCACACACACACCATCCACTCCCTCTCCCCTGCCCCCGGCACTAGGGGTCCCGTCTAAGAACTGGCACAAGCACCTGTTTCTGCAGAGCCACAGGGAGCCCTGGGGCTGGGCCCCTGTCCCGTCCAGGCCTGGGGAGAGGGTCACTCGCTACGGAGCCTTCTCTGCCGCCTGGGTCCTGCAACACTGGACAAAACCACCCGGCTCTATGAAAAGCCAGACCTGAGACCAACCCGGCCCCTCCATCCTGACCCCTGCAGCGGCCCTGGGAGCCTCCTATCACTGCCCCCAGGAACTGCAGTGGTTGTCTTCAGGCTGCAGGGCCGGGTTCTCACTCATTTGATAAACAGCTCCATGTACCCGCTGCGTGTCCAACATGGATGCTGTTGCTATTTATTCTTGCTGTTGCTGACACAGGAGGGCATCTTCTATATAGCCTCCTTCAGTGCTGGGGATTGAACCCAGGCCCTTGCACGTGCTGGCAAGTGCTCCACCACTGAGCCATACCCCTGCCCTTTTTAATTTGAAACAGGGTCTCACTTTTCACTGAGTTGTCCAAGTTGGCCTCAAACTCGTAGATCCTCCTGCCTCAGCCTCCCAAGTAAAGGCCATCCTTTGCATTGAGAAATCACTGGTCAGTTTTCAGAGAGCTTGTGCATAACTCATTTGCCCTCCAAACTGGTCATGGCAGGATGAGCTGCCCCAAGGTCACACAGCTGGGGGCAGCAGAGCCTCCTTGCCTAAGTTCAAGGGCAACCTTGCTGCTGAAGGATTCTCTACCTCTGCTTACTCTACAACTTATTTCCCTATAGACGCAGTCGACTGGATAACTAACACGGCCCCTACCGCTGCCAGGGATGTGGGCAGACAGACTGAGCACCTGGGACTGCACAGCACACGCCTGACCCCGTTCAGAAAGACACCGAGGAAACCGGCTGGGTCGCCACACACTATGCCCGTGTTGCAGCTGTCTGAAGCTGGGCCGGACACTGAGGTTGCAGAGATTGGACTTGGGCTCAGGGGAGCCGCAGCCACTGCAGGAAAGCAGAGCCCTCAAGGGGGTTCCCCACCCCCCACATCCCAGCCAAGGGTACCTGGAAAAATGCAGGTCTATCACCACAGTTTGGGAAGAATGCTCTGTGTTTCAAATCGGGTTTAAAAACAAACAGCCAGGTGTGGTGGGGTACGCCTGAACTCCCAGCGCTCGCTTGGGAGGCTGAGGCAGGAGGATCACTGTGAGTTTAAGGCCAGCCTGGGCTACAAAGTGAGTTCAAGGCCAGCCTGAACTACATAGTGAGATCCTTCTCAAAAAGACAAACAAACGCCACCAGTCACCTCTCAGAATACAGAGCCAGGGCCCGGTCATATAACTTGGGCTTTGTGCTCAGGAGTACAGAACCTATTCAGTTCAGGAACTCCTGAGTCAGTACATAGACACAAACAGGAGTCACGCAGGGAAATTCCCTGCAAACCACATAGAAGCAAACCCCGCTGCTCCAACAGCAAGTTTCAGCCAGGTGTGATGGTCACATCAGAAACACCAGCTACTCTGGAGGCAGAAGCAAAGGGATTATGAGTTCCAGGCCAGCTTGGGCAATTTAGTGAGAGCCTGTCTCAAAATAAAAAATGACTGGGTATGGTAGTTGTTATGGTTTGTGTCTGAGTGTCCTCTCAAAGCCTCATGCAGCCATGGGCGGGCTTTTAGAGTTTATGATTAATGATCCAATGCTGGGATTATGGGTGTGAGTGCTACACCAGCCCTGGGGCGGACAGTTTGCATATGTAAGGGAGAGAAAGAGGCTGCTTGCCGCCACTCCTCCCTTTAGCTCTTGTTGCCTTTGCTGTTTTCTGCTGCCATGAACTGTTGCCCTCTGCCATGTGCTCTCTGCCTTGGAGCCAGCTGATTATGGACTGAAACCTCCACACACTGTGAGTTAAATAAACCTTTCCTTCCTTAACTTTGGGCACTGGGTATTTTGTCTCAGCAACGAGAGAAAAGGTGATACATGCCTGTAACCCAGGCACGCTGGGGTGTGCAGGCAGGAGGATCACAAGACTGAGATCAGCCTGGGCAACTTAGTGAGACCTTGTCTCAAAATAAGAAATTTAAAAGCTCAGTGTGAAGGCCCTGCGTCCAATCCCCAGTACCACCAAAAAAGAAAAGAGACCAGCTCAGGGTAAAGCATCTCTAGATTCGATCCACAGTACAGCAAAATTAATAGGGTGTGCTCCAGCCATGGGTGTGCAGATAAAGCCCCGCTGTTTGGGACGGGCCGCAGCTCTAACTTTCAAAGCCTGAGGAAACTGTGCCATGCCATGGGTACAGTGACAATAGCATCGGAGCCAGCATGGTGGCACAGACCTATAATCCAGCACTCAGCAGGCTGAGGCAGGAGGAGTGCCATGAGTGCAGGGCCAGCCTGCACTCATAGCAAAACCTTGTCTCACAAAAAAGCATCGGACACTGGAGCTTCAGCTTCCTGAACAACCTGACAGAGCCCAGAGAGTGTGTGTGCTTGGAGTGGGGAGAACACAACCCATATCGGGAAGAGTGCAAACCTTCAGGCAAAAGGATATGAGTTTTTAAAAAGTGGATATAATAAAACACCAAATAGAATTTCTAAAAAAATAAATGCACTTAATAACTCAATGACTTGCTTTGATCAAGGCAAGGATGGGGTGAAGGAAAGCAGACAGAGGATGGGCAGGGGGCTGGGGCAAGGGCAGGAAAGAAGGAGGACCGGGTGAAGGGCATAGGAGAAGGGCCAAGAGGGAGAAGGAAGAATTGTGAGGGGAAGGAGGGAGGGCGAGAGCAGCAGGAGTGGAGAGGAGAGGGCTGCCTGGGGAAAGTGACTATCACAGCTCCTCAGTCAGTCAGTCAGCGTGTGTGTGTGTTAAGCATCCATGTGCATGGAGCCCTGAACAGCCCTGGTGTACAGATGGCGGGCGGGTGAGTGGGTGGATGTGGAAGGATAGAAGGATGGGTCGGTAGAGGACTGGTGGATAGGTAGTGAGGCAGTGGGTGGGTGAACAGGTGGTAAACGAATGGGTGGGTGAAGGGGTAGACAGCAGAGAGACGGATGAGCGGATAGGTAAGAGAAGAGCTGGACGGGGTGATGGACCGGTGAATGAGTGCACAAGTGGATGGGTGGGTGACTAAGGGATTGACTAGGTGGGCAGGAGATTAGCTAGACTGATGGAGAGGTAGACGGATGGGGAGTAAACAGACGGGCAGGAGCGTGGGTAGATGGGTAGGTGGTGGGGGAAGGGGGTAGGTAGTCAGTGGGAGGTTTGCTAGTACAGTGGGGATAGGGAATGAGGAGGCAGACAGATGGCGAGGACAGTGGGTGGATAGATGGAAGATGGATAATGGGTGGGTGGATGGGTAATGAATGATGGGTGGTGGCTGGATGGATGGGTGGATAGATGATGCGTAGGTAGATGGATGGAGGATATGTGATGGATGGATGGATAGATGGACCGATGGATGGATGGATGGATGGATGGATGGATGGATGACAGATGGGTGAATGGATGGGTGATGGGTAGGCGGTGAATGGATGGAAGGGTGGGTGGGAATGGATGGAAAGATGATGAATCAGTAGATGGATGATGGATGGGTGGTGGATGGATGGATGATGGATGGGTGGATGATAGGTGGGTGGTAATTGGATAGATAGGGATGAATAGATGGATGGATGGATGGATGAATGGATGATGGGTGGGTGGACAGATGGATGATGGATGGGTAGGTGGTGAATAGATGGATGGGTGGGTGGGGATGAACGGATAGATGATGGGTAGGTAGAGGGGTGGATGGATAGATGGATGATGGATGGGTGATGGATGGATGATGGATGGGTGGATGTGTGGATGGTAGGTGGTGAATGGATGGATGGGTGGATGGGCATGAATGGATAGATGATGGATGGATGGATGGATGGATGGATGGATGGATGGATGGACAGATGGATGATAGATGTTTGGTAGTGAATGGATGGATGATGGATGGATAGATGGATGGATGGATGGGTGGATGCATGAAGGGTGGGTGGACAGTGGGAGGGTGAGGAAATGGATTGGTGGATAAGAAGAGGGGATGCATCAATGAGTGGGTAAGTGCAGAGGAGCCCCAGCCTCACCTGGGCTTTGGCCTTCACCGTGTCGTACTCCGCTTTCATCTTCTTTTGCGCATCTTCGTCCACACTGGGGTCCCCGATCCTGTTGAACAGGGAGGCTGCCTCCTCCAGCAGCCTGTCTAAGAGCTCGGCCTGGTTCTTCACATTGTGCAGCACCACCTGGGCATCACTCAGTTGCCACTGCTTCTCCTTCAGGCCCAGCTGCAGCTCAGCTGGGGGCTCCAGCGTGACCACCATCTTCTGAAACCAGCGGTAGAACTCGCCACGGGCCAGCAAGTACTCCCTCCAGTGCAGCCAGACCCACTCGATGCGGCTGTGGCAGAGACCACGGGGCTGTCAGGGAACGGCCACCTGGCTCCCGGCAGGGAGGCCACGCACTGCCCCTTCCCCGACCCCAGGGGCTGTGGGACGGGACATGACAGCCTCTGTGTTCCAGAGCAGCTGGATGACACTCTAGGTCGCAGCCCTCCCTCTGTCCTATGGGATGGGACTCTCCTGTCCCATACTTGGGCTTCTAGAGGAGGCCCAAGGTGTGCCTGAGACCCACCAGCCGGGGTGATGCAGCCGAGGCAGCCTTTAGCCACCAGCACCCCAAATTCTGGCCCTGAATTTGCACTATGGATCCCCAGGCCCCTCCCATCACCTCTGGCACAGAGACCCTAAACACAGTGGCCCCAGGACCTTATCGCTCGGTGCCCGTTAGCCATAAGGAGAATCGTGCCTAACAGTTTGCAGGGCACAACTGCACCTGTCGGCTTGTTAACTGCTACCTGGGTGAGTGGGGGGGACGAGGGACCTGTGTGGCTCCCAGGGCCACCATGGGTTCTCAGGGTAGCTGTGCCTCTGCACCCACCTTGGGGTCAAGTGCAAGGGTGTGGACACAGGAAGCATTGTGTAAAGCTATTCTTGTTCCCAGGAGCCTGCGGGCCAAGCACTCCTGCTCTTGATTCTGCAATTCCCTTCCACCCTCCTAGCTTCCACCTGGCTGCCCCCACTGGGAAGCACTGAGGTTTAGAGAGGTCAAGTAGCTTCTTCAAAGCCACACGGGAAATAACCAACAGGGCAAGGAGCAACCCCAGATCTGAATCTCTGCCTCTCTCCAAAAGCTCCTTCTCAGAACCTGATACAGGCCGAGAATCCGGCTAACGTGCTCTCCTGGCTGAGTCATTCTGCCACTCTGCCCGAGAGGCACCCATGGGCAATCAGTTGGCAACCCAGCATGGGGCCCCTGTGTCCGCTACCAGCGTTACGCTCCATCGTAATTAGGAAGAGGAAGGCAAGGTTGGCTTGAGTCCCAGGAGGACGCAGCTCCCAGGAAACGCAGAATACAGGGATTCTGGAGGCAGAGGTCCCAGGCCAGCATGATGGTGGACAGACACGGGCTTGCTATGTCCCCTGACCTGGCCACCTACCTGTGACAGTGAGTCATGTAGGTAACGGTCTCCTCCCATTGGTCCTTGAGGTCCCTCAGCAGGGCCAGGATCTCGGGTCGCTGGTCCTCGAGGCAGCATGCCAGGAGGATTTCAGCTGCTTGCAGCACCAGATCCACCTTCACCTGCCCCTCGGGCTCCAGCCGGCAGAGCTTCTGTTGGGGACATGAGCAGGGGGCCCCTGGGGATTAGGCCAACGCAAACAGATACAGCCCAGGTAGACAGTGGTGTGGCACACAGCCAGGACTGTGCAGCCCCACAAGTCCTCCTCTGAGGACTGGGCAGGCTCCTGATTCCCTGAGGGTGAGGGGAGGAGCCTTAGGAGTCACCAGCACTGCCACCTGTCCCTGGGTCCCCACCATCTCACTGTGAGCTCCGTTACGAGTAGCATCCACCTCAGGGACTGTTTCAGGGTGGAAAAAGAAAATGCGCGCCATGCACGGCTGAGACGCCACCTCTCCGTGTGCCCCAGTGCCCAGCCAAGTCCTTCGCTTTCCCCACAGCCTGGCTCCCACAGCCACTCCCACAGTAGCCTGCCCAGGTGGGGATCCTCTGACAGGCCCGTGCCTGGGAGCCTCAGGTCCCGCATGAACAACTAAGCCAAGGACACCGCGGGCCCTGCTGGGCTACATCAGAACTCGTGGGCACCTGAGAGGCTCCCACCAGCGCCCCCTGTGATGCCACCTTCTTGGGGGAGATGAGCCAAACAGAGAGATCACAAGTTCAAGCCTGGACAATTTAGTGGGACCCTGTCTCAAAAATAAACAAGTAAGTCAGGAGTGGTGGTCCACCTCTGTAATTTCAGCATTCAGGAGGCTGAGGCAGGAGGATCACTTCGAGTCTGAGACTAGTCTGAACTATATGGTAAGACTCTGTCCAAGATACATAAATAGATAGATAGATAGATAGATAGATAGATAGATAGATAGATAGATAGATGGATAAGAAGGCCTGAGATTGTAGACCAGTGGTAGAGCACTTACCTAGCACCCTCAAGGCCCTGGGTTCAATCCCCAGTAATAGAAAACTAATAACTACAGTGGTAATAATTAAGGGGATAATGTATCTGATTCAGTGTTGTGAAGCGGACTTCACACTCCCCTCCTGCTAGCAAGCTGGGCATGCCAATAACCAAGGCACTGGGGACTGACAGAAACTCTGAGCTTTGCAGACAGTCCCTACAGCAGCCAGAGAGGCTCCCGCACCTGGCTGCTTGACTGAGCTCGGAGGAACGTGTCTCCAACAGTCAAGCGGGGCAGGAGCTGGGGGAGAAATGAAATTCAACCTCTCAGTGCCACAAGCAGGAGCCTGCCTGCTGGAAGCCCCAGTCCGGTGCCTGTCCTACAGCCTGGGGTCCACTGTGGGATCCGCCTACCCCTGGGCCTGCATCTTTGCCATCCTGACTCCTTGTAAGGGAGGCCCAGGCTATACTTGGGGGAACAGAAGAAAGCCCAGCAGCCTCTTCCCTTTTCAAGCAAGAGAGTTTGTTCCTGGCGAAGGGAGAGGACTTGCCTGGCCCCGTGGCAGGCAGAACTCCAAGCCCAGCCCGAGCGGAAGCAGACACCTGTCCCAGAGTGTCAACCGTGGGACACTTGCTGTGTGCTGGCAGCCAGCGACGCCAAGCCAGGTCTCGAGACGCTGCTGCGCCCTCCTCGCTGCCCCAGAGCGAGGTGCTCTCGGGCCCGGTGCCAGCCAGGACACAGTCCAGGATGCCCAGCTGCCTGGGAAGCGGTTCATGTGGCAGCCTTGACGTTCTTCTGGGTTGAAGCAGCCAATCGGGGGCCAGCAGCGCCAGAGAAATGGGGTTAACTGCGCTTCTCCCCGATCCGGCCAAGACCAGGGGGCTGCCAGCGGGCACGGTGCGGGACACTGGGCCCAGCATGAACAAGACGAGCGGGCGTTTCCAGGCTGGGATGAGGGCGGGCTGCAGAGGACAGCCAGAGTGATGGACAAGAGGGCCACCCAGGAGCTCGCGGAGGGACCTGCAAAATGCACCAGGGCTTCGTGGGGGAGGCAGCATCGACACCAAACCTCAGAGATGGTGCCAACAACCGGAGAGGGGGCTTGGGCACAGGTAGAGACTCAAGGTGTATTGAGGGAGAGGTGCATTCAGCTTTTGGAAGCCAGGCTCCAGGAAACACTGGATGCCCCTGAGCAGAAGGGAGCCTGGAGGCCAGGACTCACAGACAGTACTGAGAAGGCTGGGAAGCAAGACCCTGGGGCCTGGGAGAGGAGCTGGAGGCCCCAAGGGCAGCTCCTGGAGGCTCAGGGGACGGAGCAGGGCAGCAGGCGGCCGGGACCCTGGGCTCTGAAACAGCACGAGCCTGCCAGGGCAGCGGCGGGCCAAGCAGGCACAAAGTCCTTCCCTCCGTGCCACCTCCCTCCTTCCAGGCGGCGCTGGTCACTTTCCCCGGGAGCAAGGGCAGTTCCTGGAGCTCGGAAGGAGGCCCTGGCACGGCTCAGCCTCACACAGCCAGCGGGAGCCCAGCTCTCAGCCCCCGTGAACCTGGTGCCCCCTTCTTTCCATCCTGGGGACTGCAGCCAGGGCTTTGCACCACGCTCTGTCCCAGGCTCCCTTCTGTCCAGGCAAGAGCAAGATGTGCACTTCTTACTGGAGTTGGTGTTGACACAGCACAGCACACAGAAGTCGTCCTGGGAGACAGCACAGCGAGCCACCAGCCTGGAGCTCACTGCCTGGGGCTCCTGCTGTGCTAGGCCTGAGGACCACCCCAGGGCTGGCTCAAGCCAGGGCCCCACCAGGAGGCAGTGACCTGATACAGCAGTATTTCTAAATAGCTGCAACTGCAGAGGAGTGCAATCAGCAGCTTCGCTCACAGCCAGGAGAACTGGGGCCCAGAGAGGGACAGGAGGGGCCAGGGAGGTAACACAGCACTCTGGCATCAGCATGGAAATTCTCAAGCAAGTCTCTGACTCTTGGTCCACTGTACTTTGTCCTTGATCCCTGGCACCCTTGGCAGGGTCAGTGTAATGCCGAGCTGGGCACTGGGAACCAGCATTTCCTGTGAGTTTGGCCCTGCATGCACGGACCTCCAGCCTTACAGGGTAAAGCAAACCAGGTCTGGGGGAGCACAGGGGGTCACCCCTGCAGCCGGACAGAGCCCCTCCCCAGCACTCTGCAGGAAGACCTGGCCACCCAGACCCGCAGGGACCCAGCCACCCACAGTGGGCAGGGAAGGGGTGGGAGCCAGGCTGGGGCCAGCAGGGCTGGGGACCTCCTGGCTGCACAGGTGGCCCTGCTGGGACAATAGGGACAGAGGGAAGGCTCTAGGCCCTTACAGTGTGGGCCACAGAGCAGCAGCAACGTCACACAGGCTTGCAAGAAATGCCAGCTTTCAGGGCCCCAACCCACCCAGGTGGAATTGGTCCTTGATTTTCTTTTTTTGAGACAAGGACTCCTTACGTAGCCTAGGCTGATCTCAAACTCCCAAAGATCCTCCTGCCTCAGCCTCCCGAGCGCTGGGATGACAGGCATGTGCCACCATGCCTGGCCAGCATCTTCATTTGAGCAAAGCCGTCAGGGCACATGTGCACACGTCAGGATCTGGGAGACATGGCTCAGCCCCGCTGCCACAGAACAGCTGGGAAACCAAGGCTGAGGGGGACGGATAGGTTTGGCTGAGGCAGGACTCCGCATACCTCAGTCTCCTGCAGCCTGGCCTCCAGGGCCTCCAGGGGCCCCTGGGTGTTGTCATTGACCTGCAGCCGCTCCTGCACCGCCTGCATCCATGCGCGGGCCTCCTCCACGCTCCTGTCGAAGCCCTCCTGTGGCTGCTGGGTCATGGCACCTGCAGGGGTTGGGGAAGGACAGAGGGGTCAGGCAGAGGCATGTCCCCGACAGCCCTCTCAGAGCGGCGAGCGATATGGGAGGACAGAGACGAGCAGGCTGGTCATGCAGTCACAGGGCTGGACACAGGCAGGGACAGACTGGGAGATCCTCGTCCTCCTCCTCCCTCAGCCCCACAACCCCTGCTCCCCTGGACTCCCTGGCCAGGCTCAGGCCGCGCCGCTTGGCCTCCAAGGTGGCTCTCCGAGCATAAGTTGGGAGGTCCTCAAACGAACCAGGACATGCAGGGACAAGGAGGCCCCAGCCAAAGGAACTCAAGCCAAGCCCACGCCAGCTCCGCGCTCCACCCAGATTAATATCTCAGGCGGGGGACAGCTCGGCCAGGTGACACCTGCCCTCTGTGCCACCCGCCCACACCAGCCCCCTCTGCTGACGGATGGCCACGCCTCGCCTTCTGCAGGACTGTGCAGCCAAAGTCCCAGAGTTTCTCCGGTGACTTTTTCAAATCCCATTAGGCTAGAGCAGAACCCTTCTGCAAACTGCTCCGCTGTCTACTCACAGTAACTGTGACCTGCTTTGGATTAAAGTTATTTATATCTGCATTTTATGTGACAGCACTGTGTCTGGCTAATCTGCCGGTCTCCCGGGATGCCTCGCCCATCCCTGTTGGAGGGAGGAGCCCTGAACCAACGGTACAGTAGTCTAACTTGAAGAAGAAACGCCCCTTGTCCTGTCCTAGAGGGAAAAACAAAACCGTCACAGTGACACCTCCGCTAATAGAGGATGCCTTAGGTAAGAGAGGGTACGCTCGCAATTTACCAAGCAAAGGCAAACACCCAATGAACTTGGCAAGGAGAACGCTGAGGGTAGAATGACACCAAAATGTGAGATAAAATTACAAGCCATGCATTTGGTGGTCACAAGCCTACACCTATGAAAAGCAAAACGAAACATTAGTAATGACTAAAACTCTGCTCCTAGGCGAAAGTTGGGGAATGTTGTCATCAGAGGGCCCAGGTCACAGAGTGTAAGCAGGGACACAAGCAGAGGCGGCCTCAGCCACCCCCAGGCCTGGCTCTTCCCACGGGCCGTGCAGCCCCTCCCGCCCTGGCACAGGGGTGCGGCACTATGGCCTCAGAGGGCACCCAACTAAGGATGACTCTCTGTGACTTGTGGGAAAGGGTTTCTCTCTTTTTTTTTTTTTTTTGCTCTTAGGAGCTTTATGAAATTTCCAGAAAGTGTGATCATTACTTCACAGTGAGAAAATAAAACCTGTCCTGCACGCGGGCTAACTTGCTCTTTGGTCCTTTCTTCTCTGTTGTGGCTTGGTTGCTCAGCAAGTGTTGGCTGGGGATCCGGACCCCGCCCTGGGCTGTCCTGGGCTTGGATCCTTCAAAGGAGACCTTGCAAAGACAAAGGGAGCTGGGGCGGCCGGCGGGCTGAGTGGGCGCACGCAGGAGCTGGCCTGGGACTTGGGGTGCAGCTGCTTCACGTGCTAGTTCTCTTTCAGAGCTGTTTTGTTTTATGTGCTTGCAGCCACTCCCTGTCCCTGAAAGGATCTTTTAAAAGCACATTAGCATGCGTGGGCATTCAGACTGGTGTGTCCCGGCTGGCTTCTCAAAGTCCTGCTTTTATTCTAATAAAGCAGGGACTGGAGGGACAGAAAGGCATCTCCAGGGCTCAGATGCAGGCAGGAGGAGCAGGTTCATCATCCAAGGCTCCGAGCCTGTGGATGGACCCCTTGCTGCTGATGCCCACACCTGGGGGGCTGGGCCCTGGCAACCCGCAGGGTCAGCAGTCAGGGCAATGGGGTAGGGTGGGCTTAGCTGGGCTTCAGACTGAGCTACCACCGGGGGGATGAGGCTGAGCAGGGCTCAGGAGACCTGGGCCTCTTGGCCAGTTCTACCCACAGAGTGCCACACAGGGGACGGTGACCACCCTGCCCACACCTGATGCTGCGACCATAGCGGCGGATAAGCTAACACCATTCCCTCTAGAAGCAGCTCTCCGCAAGGCTGGAGATGTGGCCAACCGCTACAACATGACCTAACAAAATACGTGGCAAAGCTGTGGGAACTTTGAACACCAGAGGGGCCTTGCTCTGCTGTGCTCCGGAGTAAATGGAGGAAACGCCACCAGTTACCACTGAGCAGCAAGAAGGACGCGTGGGTTTCCCACCCAACTTCACAGGCTCCTGACTTCTCTAGGCCCCGTCAGTCCTCAGGCCCAAGGGGGAGCCCTGCTCTGAGCCTTCTAACCCCAAGGAGACAAATCTGACCCCAAAGCAAGTGTAAAAATTTGACAGATTAATCTGGGAGCCTGAGCCAGGAGGATTGCAAGTAGGAGTTATGCCTGGGGGACTTTACAACTTAGTGAGACCCTGTCTCAGAATAAAAAATGTAAAAGGGCTAGAGATGTAGCCCAGTACAAAGCCTCTAGGTTCAATGCCTAGTACCACAAGAAAGGAAGGAAAAAAGACAGAAAGAAAGAAAGGAAGGAAGAAAGAGAAATTTGACAAATAAGCAAGACATGACATCTATGGTAGCTAATGTCTGCTATCCCAGCTCTCAGGAGGCTGAGGCAGGAGGATTGCCTCAAGTTCGAGGCCAGCCTGAACTACACAGTAAGATCCTGCCCCCCCACACCAAGAAAAGAAGATATTTACTCAGAGCAAGTGCTTTTGCTCCTCCTCCTCAGTTTCCCCATGTGTACACCATCAGTGGTGAACAGTGCATGGTTTCGACTCAGTTTCTTCCTGAGCAAATTCATGTTCAAGTCTGAATGCAACTCTGTCTTAGTTACTCTCCTGTCACTGAGACCCAACACTCTGACCCACAACTTAAAGAAGGAGAGGTTTATTTTGGCTTACAGTTTGTAGAGGTTTTCGTCCATAGTTGGCTGGCTCCCAGGCAGACCAGCATGGTGGAAGGACACAGCAAAGGAGAAAGATGATGGCAGGGCAGACAGGAAGCAGAAAGGGAACAAGGGAGGTGGAAGGATATATACTCTTCCAGGCCACGCCCCAGTGACCCACCTCCCCTGACCAGGCTTCACCTCCCAGCATCACACCCAACTACAAACCATCAGTAGACTAACCCAGTGATAAGTATCACAGACCCATGATCCAGCCAATCCCCAAAGCCCCACCTATGAGTGCATGAAGCTTTTGGAAAGACATCTAGATAAACCTACAACATTCTGCCCCTGGCTCACCCAAAGACTCATGCCTATCCTCTTATGCAATGTGCATCTAGATCATCTCTAAGAGTAGCCTAAGTCCCAACAGTTTCAGTATTGCTGAAAGTCCAAGTCCAATCTCTGAAATTTAAAGCAAATTCTTAGTTGCAAGCCCCTGTGTAAATGAAAAGAAAGGTAAACACTTCCAACATATAATAGCACAAGATAAATACTTCCATTCTAAAAGGCAGAAATGGGGCTAGAAGGAATGAACCCAAGCAAGACCAAAACCCAGCAAAGGAGACAATAGATCCCGTAGTCCCATGTCCAGCACCCAGAGCAATCTGTGGCAAGATGTGAACACCCAAAGGGCTTAGGTGGCTCCACCCCTACCTCACTGCCGGTGGTAGTAGCCCTCATGAGTTCTCTCTTGGGCTGGCATTTCTCACTCTTTGCAGCTGTCATCAGATGAGCTATACTCCTGGATTCTCTAACCTTCTGGGGTCTCCAGTGCACCTTTGGCTTCACACTCACAGCTTCACAGACTGCCCTCAAAGGGGAATACTGCCTGACCTCCCAAGCATTCTTCTGAAGTCTAGATGGAAGCCTTCCTGACCTCACAACTCTTGTACTCTGCCTGTGCCTAAAACCAGCACCACATGGATGACGCTAAGGTCTGCCACCAGCTGGAGCAGTAGCTGAGCCCTTTTGTATCTTGCTGGTGGTTGCGGAGGCCTCAGAGTGCCTGGATGGTTGAACATGGTGAACTGAATTCTAGGGAATCAATTCCCATCCCCTAGGGTGCTGGCACTCTGGAACACTGTGGCCTGGGGCTCTGTTCTCAACCCAAAGTCTTTCACAACTTTGCAAAGTCTTTGTAATTTTGAGCATGCAAAGGGTGGAGTCCTGTTGGTTCTTGTGACGCCCTCAGGTCATCTTTTAGTACTTGGGTTTTTAATGCTAATCTTCCCAGCAACCAACTTCTCTGCTCCATCTTTGCAGGCCCTAACTTTACTGGAGCTTCCCTTCTGGCCAAATTCAAAACTTTTAAAATCATTCTGCTGGGCCAATTGCTCTTGATTCTCAAGGTAGAGCTGACAAAAAACCCAACAGTATCCGTGCCACCACCTCAACATTAGACTGCCTTGAAACTTCTTCTGCCAGATTAATCAGTCCATCACACTTAATCTCAGTCTCCCGCAATGTCTCTGAACATAGGCAAAATTTAGGCAAATTTTCTATGAAAGCATAAGGAACACGGCCTGGAGTCCAACTGCCAGTAGAATCCTTCTTCCCAACAGAAACCTCCTGAGCCTGGTCTTAATCAGCTACATTTCTATTAGTATTCTGGTCTTCTGAGCTCTGACCAAAATCTCCCATCCAGCTCGGCTCACAGCATTCTAGGGCTGCTTCTCTAGCAGGCATCGGCAAACCTTTCCAAACGCTCCCAGAAGCCAGTTCCAGAGGCTTCTGAACCATGTGACCTAACTACTCTCAGCACCTAAATCTGAGTTACTTTCTTATAACTCAGACCCAGTACCTGACATGTACAACTCTTAAAGGAGGAGAGATTCATTTTGGCTTATAGTTTGTAGGGAATTCAGTCCATAGTTGGCTGCTCCAAGACAGAGCAGCATGGCAGAGGGACACGGCAGAAAGAGATCACAGCAAGACAGGCAGGAAATAGACAGGGGTCAAGGGAGGAGGAGAGATATACACATGGCCTGGAAAGAGACATGTGTGTATATATATATATATATATATATATATATATATATATATATATATATGTGTATCTCCTTCCTGGCCATGCCCACAGTGACC